TCGGGAGGCAGAGGCAGGCGGATCTCTGTGAGTTCGAGGTCAGCCTGGTCTACAAAGTGAGTTCCAGGAAAGACACAAAGCTACACAGAGAAACCCTGTCTCGAAAAACAAAACAAACAAACAAAAGTTTAAAGCGAGCCAGGACTATACACTGACATTATCTCAAACACTAAAACAGGGCTGGGGAGAGGCTCAGCAGATAAAGAGGCTTGCAGTGCAAGCATGGCAAGCTGAGTTCAATCCTCAGAGGCTGCAAACAAGTGGAGGGAGAACCAACTCCACAAAGATGTCCTCTGACCTCAAGCAGGCACTCCCCCACACATATCACACACACACACACACACACACTTTTTAACTGAAACAGAAAAATACAAAATGAAAACCCCAAAATGTACCAGAGGATGGTAATTAGTAGGGCATGGTGACACAGGCTGGCCTTGAACCTACAATCATCTTGCCTTGTCCTCTTCTGGAATTACAAACCTGTGCCACCGTATCTGGCTTAGATGTAACATTTACATTCCTAATTATGCAAAGAATTACACAGTGAAAACATAACTCACTTTCCAGGCAGACATCTGCTGGTGGATAAACCACAAGGTTGCTATAAGACCACTTTGATTAAAGTTCACCTCTTTTTTTTAAGACAGGATCTGTCTATGGTAGTTCTGGCTGTCCTAAAGCTTGCTATGTAGACCAGGCTGGCCTTGAACTCAGAGATCCTCCTGTCTCTGCTGCCAGTGCTGGGCCACAAAGTTCACTTTTGTGTGTGTGTGTGTGTGTCCCATCATCTTGTGACCTAACATATTTTCTTTTTTTCCTCTGTCTTTCGTTTCTGGAGGCAAGGTCTTCTTAATAATGCCCCAGCTAGCCCAGAACTCAGCACACACACACACACAATCTTCCTGACTCAACCCTCCAAGTGCTAGGATTACAGGCATGAACCACCACCCCTGGCAATCTAACCTGCCTACTGTAGCATCTGATGCAGAAATTCACCAGTATCAGGAAACACTGCCTGTGAAGAGGCAGGGCCTGTTCATTTCCTCCCCCATCCCTGAATAAACACTGAACCGAATGCATTAGGCTTTACACACAGTTCAGCAACCATGCCTCAGTTCTGTGGCACATCCTAAGTCAGTCTTCCTGTGTGTAAGCAGCAGAAAGGGTTACACTGATCATCTCCCGTTAGTTAAGGGCAGGGGGAGAACAAGGGGAAAGAGAGGCCGGTGGTGACTCCTCTCTCATGTTTTTGCTCTCTCCTTTTTTGTGTGTGTACTCTCTGGTTCTGAAGAAAGCAGTCCCCTATATCCTGGCTCACCCCCACTGCTATGGCTGATTGTGCCAAACTAGAGACTACTTACTTCTAGGTCTTCACTCACTCTAAATGCCCGGTTAAAAGCACTGACATCTGTCTGTAGCCACACACAGTCAATGGATACCATCTAAAAGGGGCCAAGTCTGTAGGAAGTTGCCAATCCTCAGACACCTGCCTGTAAACTTAACACACTCAAATAGGGTGAATATTTAGAGAGTTATTGGTGTGTATGTGGAAAAGAATGAAAATAACTTTGGTAAATATGGATGGTTTCATCCCTTCTGTAACCAACGCCCCTCACACCCATTTTCATAATAGCGGCGGCTGTTACTAGGGCAACCTGTCCAGGAAATTGACCCACACTTCTTCCTCTAGGAGCAGGAAGCCAGAGCAATGTTTCTGCCTTGGAAAAAACTTGAAGGCCTCTTCTCCCCACCCCCACCCCGTATCCGCTCCAGCATCCCTCCTCAGCCCAATTCCTTAACTCCCTTGCCCACCCCCCACACCTACCTCCTCTAACTCATCCTTGGCATCCAAACTGGTTGAAAGTAGCAGCCTCCCCCCTCCTGGGGCTCCTGCTCCCGCTCCTCCTCCTCCTCCACCTCCCGCTGCTCCTGATGCAGCAGCTGCTACGGTCCCCTTTCCCTTCTGTAACTCCATGGCTGCAGCCAGGAGACCGGAAGAGAGGTCAAGGGAGGGGACGGGTGTTAAGTCCTAGAAATGGAGAACTCTGGCTTGCCAAGGACGAGGAGCAAGAGGAACAAGTGGGAAGGAGGCCAGAGGCCCGGCTTTCCGCACTCCTGCCTCCTCTCCTGCGGAGGGGAAGGCGCGGGTTCTCTAGATGCTCCCTCTGGAGAGTGGCCGTGCTGGGGGGGGCCAAGCCTTAGCGCAGAAGTACGGTGGACTAAGGGTCTGTGCCCTGCAGCGAGGTGGGCAAGGCTGCCACCCTTGCAGAAGTGGAGGGGGGGAACCCTCTGGCTTCTTATCCTGGAAGGAGGGGGAAACCCTAAGTTTCTGCCTCTCGAGGTGTGGGAAGGAGTCCTGGCCCTGAGGTGGGGACGGGAAACCTTCCCGGCGGGGTTGGGAAACGCGGTTCCTTGGGATCCGGCCCCTAGCGGGTGAGGATGCGGCAGGAGCGCTATGGGAGGACCAGCTTCTCCCCACACCACACAGAGGCGGCCATGGTGGAAGGGCGGGGGAGGCTGAGGGCGCCCGAGCGGGCAGAGTCGTCGCCGGCGCCGGAAGTGAGCAGTCGCGGTCCCGGGCGTCCGCCAATAGCGGCTTCCGCGGTGGCGCCAGGTCTCTAAGGAGTGAGCCGACGACGACGGACTGGCCTTTTCCCGGGCCGCCAATTGTAGGGAGAAGAACTGAGCCTGGTCTGATGGGCAACAAGTGTGCCCTATCGCATCCTTCCTCTGCATCAGGAGGCGGGGCGGGAGGCACGCCGTAGGTGCGAGTGCTGGGCGATCCGGAAAAAGCCGGGCTGCGCCTGCGCGCGGCAGCACGCACGCGCGGTGTTTCCCTCTCGCCCCGCTCCCTACAGGTGTTCAGAACATTGTCCTTGGGTAGCCTCGGAGACCGGAGGTCTACCCCTAAAAGGTTGTGCAGAGGAAGGAGCAGTGGAGTCCCAACCCCTCAGCAGTCCCAGAGCAGACGCCCTCAGGGTCTGAAGCTACTTCCTGAACTGCTAGTGCTACGCGCAGCCAAGGGTGCGAGCGATTTATCAGTAAGACTTGGAAAGCAACAACGAAAGTGCGTTGATCCACTAGTGCAAACCAAATAATTAGAATCGTGCCTGCACTAGCTTTAGCACAATTTACTGATACCTCTTCGACCTTTGAGGCCCCGGGACCGACAAATGTCACTGGTTTTTGTATTTGCACACACAATCCATTGAGAATATTATGATTTGTTGTGGTCACAGCGGAGCTTGACTGTATGGGAGTCCATTTCTTCTTCGCTCTTTTACTCTGCGTCTCAGTGGAACCTTTCATTTTTAGGAACATGAACTGATTACTGCATACAGCTCCAAGCCGGGCGTGGTGATATATGCCTGTAATCCCAACATTTGGGAGGCTGAGCCATCCAATTCATGCTTCCCTCCCCTCCCCCACCCTTAGGTATAGGTTTATTCTCCCGTTCTACTATCTTGGACTGACTGACCTCCAAATACACTTCTGGCACTTTTCTTTCTTTCTTTTTAAATATTTATTTACTTTTATTTCATTTGCATTGGTGGGTTTTTTGTTTATTTGTTTGGTTGGTTGGTTTTGTTGTTGTTGTTCTTCTTGGTTTTTCAAGACAGGGTTTCTCTGTGTAGCTTTGCGCCTTTCCTGGAACTCACTCTGTAGACCAGGCTGGCCTCGAACTCACAGAGATCCGCCTGCCTCTGCCTCCTGAGTGCGGGGATTAAAGGCGTGCGCCACCACCGCCCCGGGCACTTACTTTTCAATCCTCCTGCATATGCTTTGGATTCCTACTAGGTGTATGGGACTGTTTTAGCCTCTGAATTACAAATAAATCATTACAACAGAGTTATGTACCTGGAACACATGTATTAGACGAAAAGAAAAAAAGATGTACAACGCTTCATATTAAGCTCCCATTTGTTAAAAGTTCTGGGTTTGTTTGTTTTTCCGGTACTGAGGATTGATAACAGGAATTCAAACTAGGCAATTACTCTACAGTGAGCTTCCCCACCCTTTTTTAACTTAAAAAAAAATTCATTTAGCGGCAGTGGTGGTGCATGCCTTTGATCCCAGCACGTGTGTGTGTGGGGGGGTGTCGAAGGCAAGAAGCAGGAGGATTTCTGTGAGTTTGAGGCCAGCTTGGTCTACAGAGTGAGTTCCAGGACAGCCAGGACTGTTTCACAGAGAAACCCTGTCTCAAAAAAAAAAAAAAAATTGTTTTTCTGAGACACTTGCTCCTGGAGATGTGGGTAAGAATGACCTTGAATTCCTGATCCACCTGCATCTGCCTCCCAGGAGCTAAGAATGTGGGTGTGCACCACCACAACTGACTGCCTTATAATTTCTTTAAATAAGCCTTGTGTAGAAGTTAGTGGTGTAGCTGGAGTTGGGGGTGGGGTGCTTGCCTTCCATCAGCAAAGCTGCATTCAATCCTCTGCACCCTCAAATGAGTAATAAGCACCGTGCAGATTTTTTTGAAATGTGTATTTAAAAAAGAAAGAAAAATGCTGGGCAGTAGTGGTGCATGCCTTTAATCCTAGCACTTGGGAGGCAGAGGCAGGTGGCTCTCTGTGAGTTTGAGGCCAGCCTGGTCTACAGAGCGAGTTCCAGGACAGCCAGGGCTACACAGAGAAACCCTGTCTTAAATAAATAAATAAATAAATAAATAAATAAATAAATAAATAAACAAATAAATAAATAAATAAATAAATAAATAAATAAATAAATAAATAAATAGAAAGAAAAGAAAAAAGAATAAATAACACCTGCCTAACTTAAAGATTTTTATAGGACTTGCTCTTCTCTGTGCTTGGGTCAGGAAATACACTACAATTCTTATACACATATTGATTAAAACATTGTCAAAGGCTTGCTGCATGGAGGAGCACTGTATGCTTTTATGTTTTGATTCATTTACACCTGAGTACATACTACCTTCTTTACAGATGATGGAACTGAGAAAAACAAGCTCTGAGCAGCTCCTTCCTGTAATCCTAGGATTTAAGAGGCTGAGGCAGGATTGCCGAAAATTCAAGGCCAAACTGGATTAGACTGTGAGTTCCGAATAGCCTGAGCTAGGCAACAACAGCTGTAACAGGGCCCAGACCTTAGATCTTAGCACAACCGACTCCGTGATGGAAGTGCCATTTCAGGCTGTAAAACTCAGCAGGTAGACAGCACCACCAGCCAAAATGAAAACAAAGGCCTAATCCATCAAAGCCCATAGTTCTGGGAAAGTCTCCAACCTTACTAACTAACCTTACCTTTTAGCTTCTGTGGTTCTGCTGATTGTTCTTGTTAACTAAAGTGTATCAACCCAGGTCATGGTTTTTGTGCTTAAAATCTCACCCTGAGAAAGGCTCAGGGCTCCACTGGGATCCTGAAAGCCCGGTGGAGTTACCAGTTGGCTGATAAAGACTTTCTATTGGCTTAAATCCATACTGGAACTTTATTTTTGGGTGAATAACCCACAAGACCCTGTCTCATAAAAAAATAAAAATTAAAGGAGGCAGGGTGCTGGAGAGATGGCTCAGTGGAAAAATTGCTTGTCCTGGAAACATGAAAAATGGACTTTGGGCCTCCAGAACCCATGTAAAAGCCAAGTAGAGGAGTACTTGCCATCCATAATCCCAGCACACAGAAGGCAGAGGTAGATGGGACTCTGTGAGTTCAAAGCTAATCGGGTCTACATATCAAGTTACAGGCCAGCCAGGGCTACATACTGAGTCCCCGTCTTGACAAGCCAAACAAGCAAATAAAAAGAAAAAAGTGGAATGGTGATTAGGATCATTTTTAATTTTATATATATGGTGTGTGTGTGTGTGTGTGTGTGTGTGTGTGTGTGTGTGTGTGTATGAATGCTTGAGCATGTGTTTGCTCATATGGGTGGAGGTCAACCTTTGGTGTTATTCCTTAAGGGCAACCCTGTGTTTTTATCATTGTTGTTTTGTTTTTTATTTTTAGTTTTTGTTTTGTTGGGACCTAGGGCTTGCTGATTAGGGTAGGATGACTGACCGATAGGCCCCAGGAGTTTGTCCACCTCCACCTCCCTGGCACTGGCATGACAAACTTGTGTGGAGCTAGTGATCCAGCTCAGATACTCAGTCATGCATAGTAGTCCACTGAGCTCTGCCCCCACCATTGGTTGATTTATTGACTGATTTTTTTTTTTTTTTTTTTTTTTTTTTTAATGTGTGTGCCACAGTGTACTTGTGGAGCTCAGAAGATACTTGAACACCTGGCAATCCTCCGGGCCTTAGCCTCCCAAGTGAACCACCATGCCCTACTAGCTCTGGTGCTCTTAATGAAAATAAATGTGTGCTC